TATATATATATATATATATATATTTCTTTTTTTCTTTTTTTAATATATATTATTATTATTATAATTATTATTATTATTTTATTAGTTTTTTATCCTTGGCTTTTGTTTTCCATGATTTTTCAAATGTACTACTTTTATAAGAGAGGCTGGAAAATTGTGAATCATTTATTGTATTAAAATTATTATTATTCTGAGTTGAGTGCTTTGGTCAGTTTATTATTTACCTAATAAATAACAAGTATTTTTTAATTTGAGCAAATTTTAAAAATTATTTTTACTATCATTATTGAGATAGATGGATGGATCTAAAATGTTTTCTTTAGGACTGTACGCACGCATTTTTCCTACATTCTACATTTCTTTATTCAGAATTTAAAACACTATTCTCATTAATTTATTCATTCAGTTTCTTGTCGGCTTAGTCCCTTTTTATTAATGCGGGGTCGTCACAGCGGAATGAACCGCCAACTTATCTAGCACATTTTTACGCAGCGGATGCTCTTCCAGCAGCAACCCATCTCTGGGAAACATCCACACACACATTCACACACACATTCATACACTAAGGACAATTTAGCCTACCCAATTCACCTGCACCGCATATCTTTGGACTGTGAGGGAAACCGGAGCACCCGGAGGAAACCCATGTGAATGCAGGGAGAACATGCAAACTCCACACAGAAACCCCAACTGAGCCGAGGCTTGAAACAGCGACCCAGCGACCTTCTTGCTGTGAGACGACAGCACTACCTACTGCGCCACTGCTTCGCCCAACACTAATCTCATAATATTATAATACTGCAATATAAAGCTCACATTTTAAATTCATATTTATAACTAAATACTTCAGTAGTAAAACAGTATGATCAGCAAAAATAAATGTACATTGTAAAAGAATATCTGTTAAATAACCGATTCAATATTTAGTGTTTTCGGTTTATTTATGCTCGTTAATTGCATTATGGGTCCTTGATCTCTGCTCTTTTGATGTTAAAAATCAACTCTACAGTTTAACAAAGTGACTTTTATTGACATTTTAGTCAGAAATAATGTAATGTATACGTAATAATAGAGAAATAAATCTGTAAAATAACTGAAAATGTACAGGCAGTTCATTACAAGATGTTTGTAATGTAATATTAAACACAAACCCAGACAATACAGCACTTTAAACTATTAAAAAATGTTCATAAAAGGTACTTTTTCTAACTTTTCAAGGTTAAAAGTTGTTAAAAGAAAGATCAAGGTAATATATTGCAATTTAAAAGCAGAAAAAAATGAAAAATAAAAATTTAATAAATAAATATGTTGAAAAATAAAAATATGAATCGCACAAAAAGGGGAAAACTGCTAATTTTTAGATATTTTACAGCATAGGAAATATGTATATTATGTTACCAGCAGATAAACTAATCCAGCAAAATTAGTTCTTAAAATGTCACTAAAATCCAACCCTCTCTTTAAGATCTCAAAACTCAGGAGGGCTTCTGATAGTACTCAAAAAACAAAGTCCACTAAAGGAGGTCGAGCCTTCTCATGTATGGCTCCTGAAATCTGCAATAGCCTTCCTGATAATGTCAGAGGCTCAGACACACTCTCTCAGTTCAAAACTAGATTATCTTTTTAGAGCATCACATAACTGCAGGATGCTCCAATCAGGTGAGTGGGCTTGACAAACCACTAAAATACAGTATTTTAACCTCATAATTAAATGCCTATGTTAAAATACAATATATTGGTGGAATAACTGCAGAAAGGTAATTTTTTTAGAATGAGATGCACCATGTGGAAATATGATGTTTGAGCCACACATGATGAACTGAACTGCAGTGTGTGGATTCCAGCAGCCTTGTAAGCCAGAGTCTGTTTATTGATGGATGTGGACGCATGAACGTCCGCCAGCTTCAGGGAGAGCTGTGTAATTCACTTTCAAGAGCGAGGGTAGAATTTAATGCGCCTTTCACTTCTTTTTCTGTGCCCACTTCCTCAGTTTGAGAGACTCGGAAATTAGCTTTTGGAAACACGAGAGGGAAAATGCAGACTTGAGGAAGTCTCTGGTATTTGTCTTTCTTCTCTCTTCTTACACTTAAAGTGGCCCTATTATGCAGGTATTTAGTTTAGTTTGTGTTCTACAAGAGTGTTACTTTCATTCATTTTCTTGTTGGCTTAGTCCCTTTATTAATCCGGGGTCGCCACAGCGGAATGAACCGTCCAGCAACTTCTTACGCAGCGGAGGCCCTTCCAGCCGCAACCCATCTCTGGGAAACATCCACACACAATCACACACACACTCATACACTACGGACAATTTAGCCTACCCAATTTACCTGTACCACATGTCTTTGGACTGTGGGGGAAACCGGAGCACCCGGAGAAAACCCACGTGAAGGCATCCACACAGAAACGCCAACTTAGCCAAGGTTCGAACCAGCGACCTTCTTGCTGTGAGGAGACAGCACTACCTACTGCGCCACTGCCTCGCCCTACAAACGCCCTAAAAACTCTTTCAATGTATGGTCACACTTTACAATACAGTTTTTATTAGTTAAAGGAATATACTTTTTTAGATATAGACTCATTTTACAGCTTCCCAAAGTTTAAGCCGTTTAGCTGATCTCCGGGTTTGGCGGAAGCACTTTTAGCTTAGCTTAGCATAGATCATTAAATCGGATTAGACCATTAGCGTCTCACTCAAAAATGACTAAAGAGTTTTGAAACTTAACTCTTGTGTAGTTACGTTGTAGATGTTATGCAGTTATTAAGTTTTAACTTGGTTAATTAGGTTAATTAGGCAAGCCATTGGACAAGTTTTTTTGATCTGTAACAAATCGAACAAAAATACTTCTTGTAAGGGTTAATAATACTGAACGTTTAAATAATGTTTTAGTTCCAAACCAAACTATGTAAGACTTTCTCCAAAAGACAAATGCAATAGGAAATACTGTAAAAAAAATGTCCTTGCTCTAATTAACTTGGAAAATATTTGAAAAAAAATTTTTTTTTCACAGTTGGACTAATAATTTTGTCTTTAGCTCTATATGTTTACTTAAAGGGGACCCATGCAAAATCACTCTTATAAAGAGTTTAAACAGTTGTGTACAAATAATTGTAAAAATATACTATTTCTATTTTTATAATCAGACTGTATATAAACAATCTGCAGAAACACTTTGATTGACATTCTCCCTTTGTACGTGTCATCAGAGGGAGAAAGCCCCGCCCACTAGTGACCATCTCTCCCTCATCGTAGAACGTTAGTCTGGTTTCTGAATCTCCAATATGCTGGCATAGGCATTTGTAGCTCCGCCTTCTTTTGAAAAGACCGCAACCTCATTTGAATTTAAAGCGACAGTAAATGTATAACATTCAACATTATCTATAATGTTATATAAATGCACTATGATCACACTCCACAATACCAAATAACTGTGGAATCATCAGGATAATTAGTACTAGACCCTTAAAAATGTACCAAACATCTTCATTAGACCTATTATTTATCTTTCAAACACTCTTTTTCCATAAAGCATAAGTCAGCATAAATTATTAGCCTCCTGTATATTTTTCTCCCAATTTCTATATTGGGAAAAATATTTTAGCACATTTCTAAACGTTAAATTTTTCAATAATTAATTTCTAAAAAATGATTTATTTTATTTTTGTCTGATGACAGGACATAATACTTTGCTGGATATTTTTCAAGTACTAGTATTCAGCTTAAAGTGACAATAAAAGGGTTAACTAGGTTCATTGGGCAAGGTAATTAGGCAAGTCATTGTATAACAGTGGCTTGGTCTGTAGACAATTGGGAAAATATATATTGTTTAAGAAACTAAGAATATTGACCTAAAAAGGGTTATAACAAAATTAAAACTGCTTTTATTCTAGCCAAAATAAAACAAGTAAGACTTTCTTCAGAAGAAAAAAAAATATTACAGGAAATACTGTGAAAAATCATTTGGGAAATATGAAAAAAGAAAAAAAATCACAGAAGGGGCGAATAATTCAGACTTTCAGACTGAAACATCATGGGATGGGATTAATAATCAATGTCACACATTTGCTTTGTAAATCTATCACTGAACTGAACTATCATTGTCTTCCAGCAGGAGAGCGGTGTGAGAGCAGGTCTGAGCACAGAGGATCTGCTGCCTCCCAAATCAGTAAGATCAAATCAAACCGTCCCATTAAACAGCACCAAACACTTTATGTTAGCCCCTTTAAAACAGTCACATATCGCACCCACTGCATCTTCTGCTTATCTTCCGTAATAATGTTTTTAGGACATCTTTTATTTACCCATATGAACGTTTCTCTTCAAGTCTTGTCTCTCTTTTAACATGTAAACTTCTTACCAGGATTGTTCGTTGGTACACCAGGGCCACGCCCCTCAGAAGCCAATGCGGAGAAAACTCCACCCAGAAAGTCAGAGTGCCACGCCCCCATTGACCACGCCCTACTCTGCTGCCACACTCACCAAACCTACACAGAGGTCCTTTATCCTGTCTGTCTGTCTGTCTGTCTGTCTGTCTGTCTGTCAAAACAACAACTTTTGACAATTAATTTTGTAAAAGAGATTAATTATTTAAGTTTATAACTATAATTGTGTGTATGTATATATATATATATATATATATATATATAGCTTAAATTATTTATAAATAAACAAAATAAATAAAAGTAAATGTGTAACATTATACTTTATAATAACATAATAGTAATTACTGGTATATAACAGTGGCAATTTTCTTATTAGCTGACATTATTTTAGAAGGTTTCTTATGTTTAAAATCAAGTAAATATAGAAATAGATTATTTTAATAAATAATAAATTATTATTATTATTATTATCATGATGAGGATGATGCTATTTTTTCCACTTGCTGTGGTTTCAGGCCTCCACCCAAACAGAAGAGAGAGATCCAGATGGCCATCAGGAAGAACCGAGAAACCAACGCAGTCCTGACGCGCCTCAACAGTGAGCTACAGCAACAGCTAAAGGTGATTTAGACATCCATGACCAGTTCTTACACATGCTTATCCCAAAAGCACATGTAAGGACTTGGCAACTGGCCCCATTGAATTATAAGTGTTGATGTGGTCAAAACACAAAGTGACTGTTAGACCTTTATAGTCAATTATTACAGTTATACTTAAAGCTGGGCGGTATGACAAAAGTCTCATATCATGAAATAGCACCATTTCTGTAAATTCAGTGTATTAATAATTTAAATATATTGATTACATTTAAAGTAAATGACTTTTTATTAGATTTCTAATCTATCTATCTATCTATCTATCTATCTATCTATCTATCTATCTATCTATCTATCTATCTATCTATCTATCTATCTATCTATCTATCTATCTATCTATCTATCTATCTATCTATCTATCTATCTATCTATCTATCTATCTATCTATCTATCTATCTATCTATCTATCTATCTATCTATCTATCTATCTATCTATCTATCTATCTATCTATTAGGGATGAAACAATACAGTTAGCCGACGGTTCAATACATACCTCGGTTTTTTAACACGGTTTTCGGTTTGGTTATTATGGCTTGACACGTGTTTTTTTATTCTATAGGCAATAGGAACAGTAAGAGCTTAATGAGAAAAAAATAAAAACAATTTATTGCAATACTCATTTTGTTTTACTTAAAACGAGAAAAGTACAGTAGTTCCTAGTGTATTGTATAAAAACATTAACACTGAAATCTGACAGCTGCTGGTAGCCCATGTACAAACTGGGGAACACATAAAATCCTACACTTTGAAAATAAACATACATGTAAAGTTAATAAAGATAAATTGGCCATGTCAAATAAACATATTTTTACTTCCTTAAACATAAATAAACCATCTTAATTATCTCGGTGCTGAAAAAATGCGAGACTGTAGTCGGTAACGCGGATCGAGTGCTTTTATAAAATGACAAAATCCCACATCTCCAATCACTGAAAACGGCTGCAAATCTTTCGCAATAAATACCCGCACTGCCTTTGTTATTTTATGTGTCTCTCGGAACCAGTTGGGAATGTTTGCTTGAAAGATTCAGCGAGGGATTGTTGCTATTTGGAGGACTTTATTGCCTTCTCTGCTATCCTGCCTTCAGACAGTGATATTGGTGGGTGATGGCGCTGCAGATGTGCAGTCATGGTTATACGTGTAAAACAATGCTCGCACACAGTTATTTTTCGTTCACCGTTTTTTCTTTTATTGGCATTTTACTTACCGGCAAAACCGGAATATCCTCACACCACAGATTTGAAAGACGCCAGTGCTTTCTCGTACTGGTGCCTTAGTTTGCTAGCGCTTGCCATGTTAAAGTGTGGAATGATGGTCAAGCGCCGCCCATCTATAGATCTATCTATCTATCTATCTATCTATCTATCTATCTATCTATCTATCTATCTATCTATCTATCTATCTATCTATCTATCTATCTATCTATCTATCTATCTATCTATCTATCTATCTATCTATCATCTATCTATCTATCTATCCATCTGTCTATCTGTCTATCTGTCTATCTATCTATCTATCTATCTATCTATCTATCTATCTATTAGGGATGAAACAATACAGTTAGCCGACGGTTCAATACATACCTCGGTTTTTTAACACGGTTTTCGGTTTGGTTATTATGGCTTGACACGTGTTTTTTTATTCTATAGGCAATAGGAACAGTAAGAGCTTAAT